AAAAAGGAACATGTATTTAGATTAGATAATTTTATTTTAATGTATTTTTTAATGTTAAACCTTTCTTCAGATAGGCGGATGGAAAAAAGAATTCAGGGAAGCTTAAGATCAAGCACTAGATCACACAGATGAGAATGCAAAGATGAATGCAAAATGTAGGTAAAAAGTTGAGTTTCAAGGCATAAATAGAAGGTTGAAGAAACTAGAAGCAGATGAAAGGTAAAGACTAGGTTCTATTATCTGTTTGTGATCTATATATAAAAAAGTGAAAACCACTCACGCCATAATCACGAAATCTCCAGAACCGTAAAGCCTACAAACTTGAAATTTGCTATGTATGTTCCTCTTGGCTTCTAGGTGCTCACTAAGAAAGGATTTTTCGAAATGACCATCAGAGCATTAGTATTTCCTATATTATTATTAACACGCTCTGATGCTAAGGAGTTCTACTCCCCCTCCTCACCTAAAATCTGTTCCATGCTCTGATGCTAAGGTGTTCTACTCCCCCTCCCAACCTCAAAAGAAATCTGTTCCAAATGCAAAACACAAGCAGAGGAGAGGAGTTTCATTTTCAGTTTTACTTTCACAGTAGCAAGCAGCTTTATTACAGAACAGTTGAGCTAAGCCACAACTGTTCCAGTCTCCTTCCTGCTCACACAGCAAATACTGTTTGAGTTTCCAAACACCCCTCAACTCTCTCACATACTGACAGGATGCTAGCCAGATGAATATCGATGGATGCTGCGGGCTGGGACATTCTATTCCCCCTCGCCCTGTTCCAACTGCCAGTTGCATTATATTAACACACTCTGATGCTATGGAGTTACACATTCTACATTAGAGTCGAGGTGGCGCAGTCGTTAGGGTGCAGTACTGCAGCTACTTCAGCTGACTGCTAGTTCAGCAGATCAGTGGATCAAATCTCACTGGCTCAAGGTTGACTCAGCCTTCCATCCTTCCGAGGTGGGTAAAATGAGGACCCAGATTGTTGGGGGCAATATGCTATTTAGTATACTGTCTTTGGTGTAAGCTGCCCAGAGTCCTCGGAGAGTGGGCGGCATAGAAATAATAATAATAATAATAATAATAATAATAATAATAATAATAATAATGATGATGATGATGATGATGATGATGATGATGATGTTTCAGGCTGTAAGTGTCAATTTATCAAGCCCGAGCACATAATTTCATAGCGAAGCACGGGCATCCAGCAAATATATGCATGAAATATCTCTTAAGGCAACCTGGGAATGCAGTTGATATAAAATAGTAGCTATTGGGATGTTAGCATGTAGGACAACTATTGCAATATTGGATCAATTGTCTGACTAACCCTTGTGGATGGTGCTTGAGAATGAAACAGCCATATGGTGACAAAGTGGATTAATGAAGTATGCAATGTCACAAAGGTGCTTTTTCAAGAGGCAATTGGACTTTCTTTGTTTTTTTCTTGACAATGTTTTACTTCTCATCCAAGAAGCTTCTTCAGTCAGAACTGAAGAATACTTCTTGGGTTAGAAGCGAAACGACTTCAAGGAAAAACTAATAATTTAGCTATTGTATTGAGTAGCAATTGATTTTTTTCAGATTCTCTTAACGATAGCCCCATATTGCAATAGCATAGTTCCTGATATGCTGTTGTAGTAGATACTATGAATATGATTGTGTAAACATGTTAGCACTGCCATCTGGAACCACCACCACCCTAAAGTAATGCCAGATCAAGAAACACTCCTAGGTGGAAATCTGACAAGAAAAGTGCAAGCCCTTCAGAACAGGTTGAATCTTAATCTCCAAGCCTGATTTTCTACTGATTAACAATGCGTCTGTTCTGCATGCATTTAATTTGATTATGCTCACTCAAATACAGCAGACAGTATCAGTTACTTCTTTGGTGCTAGATGATGAAAAGCAGCAGAACCTAGCAGTTGTGCTTCTCTATGATTGCATAAATTTGCTTATATTATATAAGACTAAAGAAGTATTTTGAGAGGGAATTTAAATTATAGAACATGTGCTGTCTAGGTTTCATCTGTAAGACAACACAAGAAAATACTAAGTTGAGGCAAAGGCTTGTGTATGCATCTCAACGGGTCCTCAACAGATTTCTCCACATAAATAACTTTTAAAAAAGAAAGACATGGCTTGCAGCACTTTTCCTGCTGTTTATGTATCAATCTGAAAAGCAAACTAGATTTATCACTATTTGTAGATCTTTTTTTCTGAAAGCAAAATAAACAAATTTACAAAGCACAGCTGCCAACCACAGTTTTACATAGTTTTGCATAGGTCTGGAGGCTCTCTCCTCATCCCCAGACGTTGGTCTGCAAGCAATCTCAGGTGCTTTATAATTTTCTGTAATTATGTATGGTCAAGAGAAGCCAGAGCAGGAATCTTGATTCCTGTATGCTTCTTTATGATTTCCATTTTAGACTTCTTCTGAAGAAGAGTAGTCATCACTCTAGGCTTGAATGATATATTCATTAGAAAACAAACCAAGGACAATTTGAGGAAAATTGCTACTGGGTGTGTAGAAAGCTAAACTGTAGTTGGTGGCAGTTATATCTAAAAGCATCCCCTATGTAAATAAGGAAACATTATGCCACCTATTTTGTCTTCACTTTAAAATGGAAGGAGCAAAAGGAGCATGTCCCATTGGCAAGACATTCAAGAAATCACTTCTTAGTTTAGCATACTGCATTAATAATTTCATAGGCCATGAAAGTTATGAGGCCAGACAGAGAATTCAATTGCCCAATAAACAATATTATCTTCAATTGGAAGAACATTAAAATTACCATCATATTATTGAACCATAGCCAGGAAGGATAGGCACAATTGCATAAGAACATTCATTTTTGTAAAGCACAATGAGAAGAGTTCTTTTCATGTTAAAGGATCATGTGGGGATTGTAAAAAATACTGTTAAGAAATATACTTTTTGAAAATATGGAGCAGATTCCTTTTTACATTTAAAAGCATATATTTCTTGGGACCACACCCTGATCACTTCCCATTTGGGTTAAGATTAGAGTTTGGACCACTGCAATGCACTCTATATGGGACTGCCCTTGAAGAACATCTAGAGCATGGGTGTCAAACTCCCAGCCCACGGGCCAGATGTGTCACACACTGGCCATGCCCACACCCAGTTTAGCGAAGGGGGAAAAAGTTGTGATGCATCACGTGACATTGCCGTGACGTCGCAAGTTTGACACCTCTGGTCTAGAGGCTTCAGTTGGTTAAAACACAGTGGCATGCATATGCAAATCCGTATTTCTTTTGAGGGAGCTGAATTAGTTGCCAATTTGCTTCTGGGTGCAAAAAGCTGGGTTATCCGCTTTAAAGCCCTTACATGGGGGTTATCTGATGGACCACCTCTCCCCAATTACATCTACCTGCCCCACCAGAAAAGAAAGGCAGGGCAAGTTGCAGGTCATAACTATCAAGAACGTACATCTGGTGAAACCTAAGAAAAAGTCCTTCTCTCTGATGGTTTCCTCCCTTGAGAAAATCATTCCCCCAGACATAAGATTCCCCCCCCCCCCCATTTTTTTTCTACAAGGCCTTGAAAAACTGACTTTATCAGCGGGGACCCCATTTGAAACTGATCAAATGGCTGATTTTGTTTCTGCCACTGTGGATAGGGAAAAGTTTAAATTGTGAAATTTTAACTGTGGATTTTTAATGTTGTAGACATCTGGAATTACTGTGAGTTGCACAACTACATAATTGTACTACATAAATGTATGTATAAATAAATCAATATGTTTTCAAATTTAATATTAACTTTGGGTTCTAGCCTAGCCTTTCCCATAATGGTCCAGATATAATGGATTACAAGTCCCAGAATTATCAGACAGGATGTCATGTATACCAGTGCTTATTTGGGATGATGGGAATCAAAGAGTCGATTCTATCCACAGTTTGCACATAGAACTGAAAATAAATATCAATTCTTCTTTCTTTCCTTCCTTCCTTCCTTCCTTCCTTCCTTCCTTCCTTCCTTCCTTCCCTCCCTCCCTCCCTCCCTCCCTCCAAGACACTTCAGAGTTTTCCCTGAACTTCCACCTGCTGCTCTGCTTAATAGAATCGTATTATTAATCTTTGCACTCAAGCAGCATCCTGGCACTAAGTCCTAGATCTAAGAATCAAACTATATTATGCAACTATTCCATCTTTATCTCCTTATTGAATTTCTCTACTAAGAAAAGTGCCGAGAATACACAGTGCAATTAAAAATGGATTGTGACAACAAATGAGCCTCCTGTAAAATTGGATGCTCGGGCACTAAATTGATTTTTTCTCTTTTTGCCAGGCTAAACATCAGTTTATTCATATATACAATAACACACAGTAATCATGTAATAATAGTACAATTCTCACACAATATGCTTAGTGACTGTTAAAGAAAAAATTAACTTAATCAATGTCCTGCTGAAATGACTTGGTTCCACTTAACAATCCTAGGGCTGCCAACTGCTGACAAGCTTTGGCAGGTTTCTACAGCACACAGTCTTGCCGTTTCTGGACAGAAGTTATTATGAGGACAAACGTAGGGGGGAGGTGGAAGTTATGTTACAGAATACAAGTATTCTCGCTGAAAGACCAGAGTAAGAAAATACAAACCAAGTCATGTCCTGGGTTGCAGCCTGCAATGATCATTTGATCTTAGTTATGAACTCCCTGTTACTCCGAAACGATTTCAAAGATTTTAAACTGAGAAACGTGCCTGTGTCATGTTCCATTCCCCTTGACAGGAGACTATTAACTCAGAGAGTGACACAAATACTGCTTGTTGAAGGCAACAAACATGACAAAAGTTCTGCTCGATAGCTCGAATGCTGAGGCAACATCAAATGAAAGCAATAGAGGGAAACACATGAACTGTAGCTTCAGGCTGAAGTAATATCAGGTGCATCTCTACACCCTCAGGGCTTAACTCCTACACTTTTAAGTCCCTCCCATTGAAACAGCCTCCTTCAGTTTCACTTAATCAGGCAGTGAACAGGTACTTCTCTCTCAACACTGACAGCAACAGTTTAATAGTTCCGAACAACTTGGATCTGAGTTCCCGAACTCGCAGGTAAGTTAACATTCAATCACTGAACGATTTACAAAATGATTTAAAAGAAAAGACGAGCAGCTAACTAAAGTATGTTAGTTAAGTGTATTCCTTAGCATGTTCTGCCTTTCTGGCAAGACAGAGTTTTTCCAGTACAGGTGCATTATACTTAAAAGCAGATTTATGATATAATGTGTAATTTGTTATTTAAATCTGTACAAAACCTTGTCTATTTACTATATTATTTTGTCCAAGCTAAGGTGCTATTACAGCTATTGTTAAGGTGAATTTATTAATTTTCAGTGTAAAATACAACTTTTAAACACATCCCTCATTTAACACATTCAAGTGAAGTATTCTTACTTGTTTAAATATTTAAGTTAAGAAGCCAAGTTTTCTGATGTATTCAAATGAGTATAGTATCAGTCACTATGACAGTCATAGTTAAGACTTTGTTAAGATGTGTGTGTGTGTGTGTGAAATATGTGAGAGAAAAGTATATTGTATTGCTAATTTACTTTGGAAAATAAATAAATGAATGAATACCTATTGTGATTAGTATAAAATGGGCTTAAGTTACTTTAAAATTGTAGAACCAAAAAATTCCTGTGTTTGGAATTTATAAATGCAAAATCTTTTTTCATTATAGCTCATGCTGACTTCTACAGAATTTATCCTTTTTGCTCATTTTATATCCATCATCAAGCATGCAATTTTTTATTTTTGTTAATAAAATCATTCATTTTAGTTTTAAACTTTAGCAATCCAGAAGGGTGGAGTAGTTAATCACTGGAAAATCTGGGCTGGAATAAAACTCAGAAATCTCATTCTTGCAAAATGCTGGATAGGTGACAGTGGCATGATTTTAAGTTATGCAATAATGCCACATCACAATATTTTAATCATAGCATGCCCTTCTAAAATGCTCCACCTCAACAAAGACTCGTCACCTAGATCAATATCACAAAAAAGAATGCTGCAACAACAGCAGACCATATGCATAATGTTCCTTAAAAATGGTTGCGTAGCCAGCTGTAGCTATGATATATTAAGCAAGATTGTTACACCAATGTGCTCTAAAGAATATTTTGAAACAGCACTTTTGAATGTTTTTTAAAAAAACAAAATATTGTATATTGGAAAAGTATTTGATTATTTTTCAGTGCTGAATTCAAAATATTTACACAGGTAATAACAAAGGCTAACAAATTAATATAGCTTTTGTCTTTTTAAAAGATTTATATAAGGGCAAACAAGACTTCAAATTTACTCCCAAATCTATAAAGTCCCATCCTTTCACAGGCATGACCACTGCCAGTTTAATTGGAAAAACACAGAAACAGTGCTAGAATCAGAAAATGTATGTCCATATATATCTACCTGGCACTAGCACTATTTCAGTTTAGATTGTTTTGTTTCACAAAAATAGCAGTATGTATTTCATTTGAACTCTATTACTTACATCTTCAGGTAATATTCCCTTTTTTAAAACTAGGAATGGCAATTAATGATTTTATATACTAAATATAATTCAGAAATATCACTAGCCTGTACCTATCTATAGTTAAAGTCATCCACGTTCATTCCAAATATATTATGGAATCCTTAAGACTGCAATTCTATACTTATTCGCAGGGGAATAAATTTAACAGAATACATATATTATTAACATACATTTTTGCTGTAAAGATTATTTTGCACCCAGTGCTTTCTCTATTTGAAATAACTATTATTTCAAAAAAGTTTGATTATTAAGTTATTTGTTATTGGAAAGACTGAGATGCAAGGTCCCATATACATGATAATTAACCATAGAAATTTGAAGTTTGCTTTAACTGTGCAATAAATTAATAGAAATTTAGTTTTAGCAAGGAAACACATACTACTTATTTTTTCCCTTTTTTGTTCTTCAAGAATTAATGGTGCATACTGAGCAACCTTTTATTGTATTTCAGTATACTCTTATATCAGAATACAAATTCAAACTGCTATTGGCAGTTTGGGGACAGTTTGTTGTGGCAACAGAAACTTGAAGTTTTATTTGCACAGAGGCTTATAAATTAGTACAAAGGTACTACCAGTTTCTTATAGCACCTTTTCAGACTAACAAATTTTACTGAAAGGAATAAGTTTTTGTGAATTGTAATATCACATCATCAGATCCTAATTATTTCATTAATAAAATGTTAGTCTGAAAACTTGTTATTAGACTCCTAACTTGGCTACAATAGACTACATAGCTTTCTTTACACAAAGAGATACTTTAGGTATAAGTTGAACTCACCAAATCTTTGATTATACAGCATTATCTAAATTTAAAATTGCATCGTTCAAGAACTATTTTGTGATGTGTATTTATTTTCTGTTAATATTGTCCAAATAAATTACCGTGCATGTAGAAATTAATTCAAGCAACTATGTCAGAAAGCTAATGTACTAACATTCACCTGCTATTTTAATTATCTTCCAAACTGCAATACTATTTCTGTAGCTGAGATTCAGAGTCACCCACACTAGGGTTTACGATTGTCAAATAGTCCCTATATTTAATGGCACTTGCTTGAAACATTCTAAATTTGCAGCTGAAAAAAGCCCCACCAAATTCGACTTAAGCATCTTTTACATTCTAACCTGTATCAGAAGAAAATAAAAATTACTTTTTAATCTTTTATGGAAAGGTATTCTAGAAATATCACTAATAAAGCAGAACGTAATGAATTAAAGGGAAGCAAAATTCATTCAGAATGATATACACTTTGATATTGTAAATGACAGGTCAATCTTTCATAATGAATAGAAAAATATTAAGTTCAAAAGTAACAGGAGAGGATCAAGTGACATTGTAAAAATTAAAACAAAATATGGTGTGAATTTTCATTCACAAGTATGAATTTAAAAATCCAGGAAGACCCACATAAAGTTTAATTGATATATATTTGTTTTTAAGGAATTACAAATTGTATAGTTTAATTTGTAATCACAGGTATAATATTTTTACATTGAAAATATTAGATATATTTTAGATAGATATTTGTAGTTTAAACATTAATGGGAAAAAGTTTTCAAGAAATTGTAAAGCCATCACTTCCCTGTATTACTGTAGTTTCGGGTAACAGATACAGTATGTGGTTTTGCAACAGTCATCATTTTGATAATAGTGCTTACAGTTCATGATGAAATCATCACTTTTTAGATCTCTGCCATAACACATCTATAAAATCATGAGAACATAACTCTCAGAGATTCTCACGCCTTCAGAATCAGTACACATAATGGAACAAGTTAATACAAGCCCGTCTGACTTATCTGCAGAGCAAATCACAAGCCTGTATCCATTTGTTTTATTTCTAAGAGAAAGCAAGTAGATTATGCCTCTATAAATCAATGGATGCTGGACTCTTATTTTTTATACCTTAGAGACTAGCTATGCTACACAACAGCGAGTTCATTAGTAACATAATTAGAAACCAACAAAGAAATGGCAACAAGATGTCATTCCATAACTTAACATCAGACTTACTGTGGGATGTTGCAAATTATGCATACTAGCCGGTCCTTAAATATTTGCTTAGGCTGCTTAAAAAGCTTGTTTGCTCTCTAGTAGAGCTGGGTCAGCTCTCCAGGATGGAGTCAATCCCACTCCACCCTACTTCTCCCTTGCATGGAATCTCTTCCTCTTTCCCTAACTGGCTCAACTGGATTATGCTCAAGCTTCTACTTTTGTTACCAGGACCTGCCTTCTCTTCACATAGTCTCATCCACCTACAGTTCCCTCTCCCTCTGCTTTCATCTTTTCCCTGTCACATCCTGAGTGGATAGTCTTCCAGTGCTGTTTGTAAGAGTTCTCTTTAATTAATTCAACCAGAATTTCAGGTAGGAGACACCCCTGAACCTCAGGTCAGTTAATTAGGGTGCTACTCCAGACTTAGGTGCTTCCCCTTAGGGCAATCTTGTTTGTAAAGGCTAAGATTCTTCTAAATTAGCTTCACTTTTCTCATACTTGTAATTCATTTGGATTCAGGGGCAAACCCATACAGTTAAGTTTGAGTATGGCATCAAGTTATTCAGGATGGTGAGAGCCACAGCAAATGATGAAGAACTCTTTACAGTGAGGAATGTGTGGCAACAAGGTCAAAGAGATTCAGTATTCATACTAAAGGGCAGAATTATCACTTCACATATAAATGGCTATATTTCCTCTTATAGAGAAAGCTATGTCTTGCCCAGAAAAGATATTTTAGAATTTTGGTGATAACTCACTAAAATATAAATGCAAGATATATCAGAAGGAGGAAATAAAGGCTCAATTCTATGTTGTAGACCTGAGTTTTCAAAAAGAGTGTAGCACCACTGTGATGGGCTGATTCATCATGTTCTAGCACCTTTGCTTGACATCTAAATGTCATTCTACTCAAAGATAGTATACTGGGAATAATTTTCATCCTGATGACCTACTTATAGCCTTCTCCAAAGATTCTATTTCCCCACAAGGTTGTTCAATTTTGTTCAGTTTCAGCTGTTTTCCTGAATATTTTCATTTTTATCCCAAAACATTCGGCCATAGCATAAAAATACCATGTCATTTTCAAGATTTAAATCTCTCAGAACAGAAAATGATCCATAGTATTCAGGTACATTCCAGAGAACAATGGAAAATTCAGAGCCAGGATAATGTAGCAGTTAAGATTTTAGACTAGAAACAGAGAGATTCAAGTTCAAGCCATCTCTCAGCTGTAGAAACTCAATGAGTGACTTTCAGACCAACCTAACCGTCAAGTTGTTGCTGTGGAGAAAAAAAAAAGTGGAAATGCTATATATTCAGCTTCAGCTCAGGAAAAAAGGTGGAATAGTTACATAATGAATATATTCTAAATAAATAAATGACAGAATGTCTCAGGCCCAGAAGACAGAGATGTGCATATCCTTGATCTTATAAAAAGGACCCTAATGTTTCTAACACTAATTTTTGTATTACAGTTTCCTGTTTGCAAACGCTGTTATTTCCTGACATTTCCAAAACTGCCTTCATATCAAATCTTTTGGAAAGTTTTTGAGCTGGAAGAAACAATAAAAAGCAAAAATTAATTTTAAACGAACTAAAGCTCTATTAACTAATTGTTATAAGAACAATCCTAAACGTAACATCAAGACTAGAAGATGAGCCTCCTCAAAGAGCGCAAACCAAAAAAACCTCATTATATCCCCAGACCTCCAGGAAAACCATTTAAATACAAGTGCTTTCAGTGCCCCTTTACCTGCAATGAGAAATCACATCTTTTTAACCATATGAAGTATGGGCTTTGCAAAAACTCCATTACGCTGGTGACAGAACAAGATCGTGTTGTCAAATGTTCAAAGTCAAATTCTTTGGAGACTAAGCAGAACACTCAGGTAGACACTGCAGCCAAACCAACTTCTTCCAAGGTCCTCTCAAATTTTGATTCTAAACCTCAATATGCATTTGCCAAAGATGACTCCAAGGAAAATATGGAAATTCAAAACCAAGTGACAAATATATCAGTGCTTGGACCAAAACCACCCACTGAAAAGGAACTAACTCTTCTTTGTAATGAAGAAGAAAGTACAATCAATGTGCAGTCTGCTCTTGAAGGCATCGTAAGGCCTTCTGCATTTGTTCCAGTGGGAGAGCATCGGCACAATAAGGACAATAATGATATGTCTCAATTAAGTTCTCTTTCCGATTCAAATAAAGGCTCTTCCTTTCCAACAAAGTCAGCCTTTCATGCGCCAAACAATCTATGGAAAACCAGTGGTACAATTATTGCTCCAGAGTTTACTCATAAAATTACACCTGCAAAAGGTTTCACTTCCATTCCATCTTATGTACAACCCATGATTCCAGAATATTCACCTTCACTGTATGAACATGGATTAGCTATCTATGCACCTTACTTCCTCTCAGGAAACTCTCATGAGTGTGAAAGCTCAGTGATGTCTGTCTACAGCACTCAAGATCAAAGACATTTTTTTCCTCATCCAGGACCACTTCCTAAACCAATTAATCCATCAACATACGAACACTACCGCTTATTCCAGCCATATCGTCCAAATCTTTCAGTGCCATATGGATTTTGTAGGCCAACAGAATCAGCATTTTATAGGTTGCCACACATTGCAGATATTAACAGAGACACAAATTCTCAATTAATGGAGGAAACAACCTTGCTATATCCGCATTCTTCAAGTCCAGCCATGTTATCATCACAAAATTCTCATAAAAAAACAGATGACTATGAAAAGGAAATACCTATGCTGCATAACAAAGGTCATTCTAAAGAAGATCAAAATGAAAGAGAAAATGCCAAAATGAGCCCTCGTGCTGGAAGTGCAGCAACTGGATCTCCAGGAAGACCCAGCCCGACAAACTTTACTCAAACTAGTCATGGTTGTGAAGGCCTATTTGATCTTTCTAATAAGTCATCTTCAGTTATTAACAAATGTGATCAACCTGAAGAAAGCTTTACAGCATTCAGACCTGTGAGGAAAAGTACAGACCAATCTCCTCCGCCTATATCAAAGGAAGATAAAGGAAATTCTCCTAAAAGGTAAAATGTTAAATGCCCTTTTAAAAAAATTTTTCCTGCTAAAGTCTATGGCGAAAGCAAACATGCCCTCAAGATACATTACATAGGGCCTCTAAGACATATTTCATTACTTGTCAAACTGGAAAACACACGGCAACTAGGAAATACATGGGCTGCAACTATATATAGCTGGGTGGGAAAGTTTATTTTAAAAGGGGGGGGGGGATATTCTTACAAGGGTTACATACCACTGAGCAAGGCCAGGGCTATCCTAATTCGAACTTTTTTTCCTCTTAAGTTCATCATTACCTCTTTTTGGCTTGGCTCTGGTCTAATAATTTGCTGTTCTGAGTGCTGAATGAGAAAAGACATTTCTCTTCTCTCTATCCAATGAAAAAACAGACTAAGGACAGCAGGGGTTTTGGAAGGAGAATGGGGAAGAATACAGTCAATGGACTTTTGCTTTTTACTTTCAAAGAAATGTCTTGGTATAATTTATTCTATACTTATTGTGTTATTATCCTAAATTAAATAAAATAAGGGAATGGTATGCATAGCAAATAACAAGATAACACATGAAAGTTAGTAGGAATTATAGTAAATAATATTGTTGTGCTAAGTAAACATACCAACCACAGTACAAAATTATAAACTCCTTTTTTGTGTTTATTTTATTCTTTACTTTACAACCTAACCTTATGTATATTTATGCTCATATAAGCACCATGTAAATAGTGAATCAAATGTTTAAGCATGCACAGGATTGCTAACTTAAATGTTGCAATTTATACATTTATTTATACATACAATGCCATTTACTGTATTTATATTATACTTACTCACCATTTTTTACCCTAGGTAATGTATGAGAACAAAATTATATAAAGATAATAATATGATGCAAACCCAGTCAATATAAAAAAACCAGAAGAATTTATGGAAAAACATAACATTTTAATTAAAAATACCAATAAAATTAGGATTAAGCATTGAATATTTCATTTCATGAAAACAGATTCTAGACCAACCTTTTTAAAGTTTTTTTATTTTGGAGGAACATTTGAAATAACTTTTAGGTCTCAGGGGAACCTCTGCATTAAAAAAACATTTTACAATAGGCAGTATCTATGCTTTTAACATCTCGCTTCCAATAATCCTTATACAGTAGGCCTCTACAAGATGAACATTTACTTATTTTTAACAGAATTATCAGAAAACCCTTGCTATATTCATATGCACATTGATAAACCATATTACTTAATCACAATGAAATATATATTTCTCAGTATATACAACGCACAGATTGACATCATATTTTTCTTTTATGTAATCATCTTAACTTCTCGTGAAAATAAGCCAAAATATATGAATTGCTCACATGTCACCTGAGATTTAAAACTATATCACGCATACAAAAATATTAACCAGGTAAACAAATGCATTTGCAACGGTATGTGTGTGTCTGTGTTTAACAATCCTAGAATTTTTCTAATAACTTATATACAAGCAATTTGTTTCATTTCTAATTCAAAATATCTACCCCATTTAAGTATTTTGCCTAATTACGCAATAACATTTTCCATTTTTCCTCTCAGTAGTGACATCACTAATGAAAAGGAAAATGTACAGCATGGAAATGATAGTAATGAAGATCCTTTGTCCAGTTCCGAAGATGATTCAGATGATTCGCCACTTAATCTTTCCAAGAAACCAGATGCAAACTTAGTCGATGCACATACGTATACAAGCACTTTCTCAACAGAAAACCAGAACTGCATGGAACTGCAGGAAATGCCTTTGAACCTTTCAGTGAAGGACAACTATCATGTAACTGTATGTCTCCAGAACTCATTATACGAAACTAAAGATCATAACCTTCAAAAACCTGAAAATAAAGATTTGGGGACAGAAATATGTAACCCTAAGAATCAAACAGATAAAGGTTCCTTCAGTAAGCCTCTTACTGTGATGCCTATAAAAGAAGTGGAGGAACCAAGGACAATTGAGAGTTGTGATGAGCAGAAACAAACTGCAGCCGTTGCTCTCTGTCAATTAGCTTCTTACAGTCCAAGTACAGTTCAAAAAGAGAGCACAGAGAAAAATAAGCAAGAGATCAATTCTCAATATGCCGATTCCATCGCTGAACCATCCGAAACCCAGAATCATCATTGTAAAAAAGCAAAAGGACAAAAAAGGACCAATCACAGAGAAGCAACAAAAGTACAAGGAACCAAAAGAGTAAGAACAAATGAATGCAGTCGAGTGTTCACTTTGAGAAAGAGAACAAGGATAACATAATATTGTTCCACCAAATATCCTGTAGAGTTCATATGTACACTATCCAACAAAAATACTAAACATTTTTTTCAGTACCAAAATTTTATTTTTACTTTGCAGATTCATTTATTCTGCTCAATTGAACTATGTAAATATTAAAATGTCTTGTCTATACATTTTAAAGTAACTGAAATGTCTCATAATTTTATCTTTTTTAAGTAAACATTTAAATGTAAAACTTAAATGCACTATTGTAGAAACATATTTCATAAATGCACTATTGGGAAAACAATTTATTCCAAAAATGAGCTTCTAGAAGCACATTTTGGATATATGAATGTTCTATGTGTCTCTAACTAACTTCATTTTCAAATCTTTTTGTTTTATGTTTTTTATTGTCCAGTGTATTTTTGCTGTTTTATCCATATTTTAAGAACGAAAATTTCCAATTTCTTAAGCTTAGTGTTATTGAATTTTCATTGATAATATATTAGAGCACTCATATTAAATCTTTCTAAATTACACTTTTGGTATTGTGGTTTTCCCAAGTCGAATGGCCCAATATAAAAATGTTATGCTCCAAATTTTAAGTCCTAAATTAATCGATATTAATTAAAATTTAGGACTTAAACAAAGTAGAGGTCCCACACAAATGCTTACATGTTTGATAAACTGCAACTTCAGGTCCCAAGTACTGAGAGAAATGCGAATCAAGAAATTATTTATTTCAACCCATATTAGAAGGAATCCTGTGTTGTGAATTCTACATTTTGCATCCATATGAGTTTGTAGCACTAAAGAGATTGTATACTATAGGTATCAGTGAATGTTTCATAGACTTGTTAGTAATGATTTTCCATTTCAGATGTTATAGTAATTTTTCCTCTTTTTACAATATTATTTATATTGTAGCAAAAAATAGCTTGTAAAGGCTACAGATAAATCTTAAGTATCATTATGAATTATCCTCAGAAAGTTACAACTTAATATATCTTTTAAAATATCAGTTGTAACAATGTTTAGCTGGAGATAAATAGATCACTTTATTTCTAATTCATGCCAATGTTGTATTTGTTTGGTATATATTCCATTTCTAGTGTAAAATTCCATTTTTAAAAAAATGCTCAAAAATCAAATATGTATCCTAAGAACTGTATTTAAATGTTATTTATGTACATATGGTGAATATTTTCCAGTAAAATATACCTTTCTAAGTGTAATTTACTGAAGTTTATGCAATTTAGTATATTTCATCCTAAAATACAACTTTCTTTCTTGTTATATTTTTACCATCAAAATTGCAAAATTCAAAGATGTCCTTGAAAGTGTAAATCATAGCAACTCATTTTTCTTTTGATCAGAATGGAAGAAAAGTCACATTGTTCAAGAATCCCTGTATTTACATGAGGTACAACTGGAATGTATAAATAGTATGACCATTATCCAGAGCCATTAAAATGTCAGGTCTTTAGAGAACTGACCATGTATGATAAGTGATTAATGAAGATTGTACAGGTAGTTCTTATTTAATGATGGTAACTGACAACTTTTACTAAGGAAGACAGCTAGTGCTGTCATTATCTTAAATAATAAGAAAGGAACATCCAGGTGGCCAGGATATAAATTTCTCTCAGACTCTGAAAATACAAACAACTATATGGTGCTATAGGCTACAGTGACTGATGGTATCACCTCCCCCTAATGAGATGTTTTGCATATCTAAAATTATTCAGAAGGAGAGGCAGCAATGGTACCCCCTAAGCTTTGGAAAGCTAGACTACTGCCTACACAGTCTTAGCCAAAAACTGGCTCAGATTTTTAACATATAATTCTATCAAATCAACATCTAACTTTATTTTGAGGGGCTTTATTTTTAGTTCAACTCAGTTTAGAAAACACTTACCGTCTGATAGCCGGGAAGGTAATAACAAGCCTCTTCTTCCCAATTCAGCCAGTGCCAAACATCCACCATGCCACGCATTATCAGTTTCCTGAAAACTGCAGTTTTAGAAAACAGGATTTTAAGATGATTTTTCTTAATTTTTCTTGACTATTGCAATGTGTTCTACATGGGGCTGCCTCTGAAGAGCATCTGGAGGCTTCAGCTGGGGCAAAATGCAGCAGCCCTCATGTTTTTGTGCAGCCCTCAGTGTACATATGTAGCACCTCTCCAATGGGAACTGCATTGGTTAATGATTTGGTTCAGGGGTGAAATGTAAAATGTGTTACTACCGGTTCTGTGGGCGTGGCTTGGTGGGGGGGGGTAATGTGACTGGCCAACTTTTTTTTTTTTTTAACTTTTCAAAGCATTTTTTCTAATGCTTTGAAAAGCCTCTGGCGATCAGGCAACTCAGCTGGGATTGTCAGAGAGGCTTTTTAAAAAATGTTTTGAAAAGCCTCTCTGCCGATTAGGCAAGTCATCTGGGATCGTCAGGCTTTTTAAAAAATGCTTTGAAAAGCCTCTCTGACGATCAGGCAACTCAGCTGGGATCATCAGAGACTTTTCAAAGCATTTTTTTTACCACCTCTTCCGCCAAGAGGTTGCAGAAAAAATGCTTTGAAAAGCTTAAAAAAAAAGCCTCTGAGCAGCGCGAGCCTCAGAGGATAAGGGGGGGGGGGGCGGGCACAGGGATTTTTGCTACCGGTTTCTGAACCACCCACCACCATCGCTATCGGATCGGGCGATCCGGTCCAAACCGGGAGCATTTCACCCCTGATTTGCTTCCAGGTGCAATTCAGGATGCTGGTTGTCACCTTTAAAGCTCTCCATGGCTTGGGACAGGATTATCTGAGGAATCATCTCTTGCCAGTCACACCTACCCAACACACTAGAGTGGAGAGGCAAGGAATGTTGCGAAACTCATCCCCTAGGGAGATACATTTGGCAGGACCCAGAAGAAAGGCCTTCTCTATGGTGGCTTCCTCTCTCTGGAACATTATTCCCCCAGACATTAGACTGGCCCCCACTCTAACATTCTTTTGGAAGGTGCTGAAAACGTAGTTCTATCAGCAGGCCTGGGGAACCCAGAGTGGGATGGAGCCCATTAAATGGTTTGTATGAAAGTGCGTTGTTGCAGAGGTGGGAGGGGATTATTATTTTACTAATTTATTATTTTATTCTTTTTATTTCTTTTATATGGTTTTTATATCCATGTAAGCCGCCTTGAGTCACCATGTGCAAGCAGGCAGCAATATAAATTTTCTAAAATAAATAAATAAAATAAATAATTCTGATTTTAAAGTGTATGCCGAAGAAGTGTCTTACATGATGCTATGTAATTGTGCAGCAAAACATAAAATCAAATAAATATGTCACTATGAATCAATCTAACAAAAATCCCAAAGTGACACTGCACATTTCCTCTTTTTTTGCAAGTTGCATTGGTGTACGTTATTGTTTTTTAAAAATGTATTAAAACAATTACCATATTTTTCGGAGTATAAGACGCAGCTTTTTCCCCCTAAAAGGGGGTGAAAGTTTAAGTGCGTTTTATACACCGAATGTAGCCCCACCCACCCACTGGCCCCCACCCTTTGGCCTCTGCCTCGCAGCAGTTACCTCCTTGCAAGCAAACAGCAAGAAAAAACAGCTTTCAGCTTCAGCACAGCCTAATTAGCACAAGTTGATTGGCTCGGCCTCCCGACTCTCAGCTGTTTTGCGCAGGGCTCTGCTGCTTGCAGCAAAGAGGTAAATTGCTGGAGCAGATTTTTTTTCCCCTTGTGCTAATCAAGCTATGCTGAAAATGAAAATGAAAGTAAAGCAGGCTGTTTGCTGTTTGCTGCAACGAGGCAAAATTGCTCAGAGGCAGAGGGAGATTTCTTTTTCTTCTTTTCCTCGCCAAAAAAGTAGGTGCGTCTTATATTCCGGTGCGTCTTATACTCCAAAAAATATGATATCTTTCTATGCTCAATAGCAGAGGTTCCCAAACTTTGGCACTTCATGGTGCCCTTAATGTCTTGATAATTTTTTTCACAACCCGAGGTCTAAACCATGAACTACCTCAAGCTAGTAATTTGCAATCCTGTGGCATCCATGTGAATTTCCTAAGGTGCCCTGGCATATTAACACAAAGTTTGAGAACTAAATCTCTATAGAAAACTGACACTATAAGAATCTGAAACCTCTTAGTCCTCAAAAAAACCAACAACAGATTGAGATTGTAATCTGAAAAATTATAACCTATTTTAAGAAGAAAAAAAAATAAGATTCAAATCAAAAGCATATTAAAAATGAGTATCAGTTTTAGAATAAACCAAGATATTCAACCAACATGTAAATATGATTTAATATTTTGGTGTGTTCAGAATATCAACCTGTTTCTCAATTAAGGAAAAACAAGTTAGCTATCAAGAATTGTGGATTTTCCAGGTACAGAGAATGGTGATAAGAATTACAGAACATTTGAAGATGAAATCTGTATCTCATTTCTAGCAATGAATTGTTGGTCTGTGCTCTTTCTCAAAAAACAAAAACAAAACACCACTTAGATTGTGATAAGGGGGAAATGAAGACTTTCAAGCATCAAATGGGCAACATTTTGGAGAATTCTTTTCTTTATAACATAATTTGCTAACCCCGTGGAGCATAACTCTTCCAATCTAAATTTGGAGATACCATTCAGCTTTATTTTGCACATTTCTTCATTCTATGATACCATTTTGTTAGATGAAAGATTAAAAATGTAGACTCTTTCTTACATCTATATGTGGGCATCAAACCAAATCATTTAATTAGATACTGCAATACAACGAGTTGAGCTTTTAAAAATATATTTCCATTTTGGAATGTAACTTCTATGCTTCTGCTTGATAAATGGTTTATGGATAAAATATCATTTCTGAAAAAAAATGAATCCAAATATTACCTGAAGCAGTCTAACACAGACCCAACAACTTCATCAGCTAACTCTTTTGGCAGCCTTCCAGTCAACCTACCAATCCTGAAAAAAGCAAAAGCACTTCATTAAGATTTTCAGCAGTCTATGTTTGCCATGTTCATCATAAAAATACCTATGCTCCTGAAATCTGAGCTTTGTAATTTTGAAACTCAAATCTATAGTTCTGTAATATATATTGATTCTACAAATTTAATTTGAACTGAAGATTAAATAGTTCAGATTTTGTATCTGCATTCTCTATAGCACAGGCATGCCAAAGTGGGTAACCTGTAACATTTAATTCTCCCATTACCAGATCAAACATTTGTGATATGTTCCTATGCTACAGCCTCTGATCCATTCAGAAGAAGGCAAGACACATATCAGGCCCCAGTAAATCCTTGTATTATTTGCTGTCATAAGTGTTCTTTTATTTATGGATTCTGGATTCAGAAGTAGATGTTTTTTAGATATGCATTGTTTATTGCTTTGGAAATTTTTGCCACCAAATGAAGAAAAGGCATGTATACATACAGTCCATTTTCATTTAAATAGAGAGAGAGGTTGTTATTCAACACTAAACAAAGGCTCATAATAATAATTTATTAAACTTGTAAATCATTCAATTCTCAACCATTATGGACAGCTCACAGCAATCAAGCAAATTACAATAAAGAATGTGCATCTCAATGTAATTGCTTCCCAGTGTTTGAGACATGAATTTATTTGTTTATTTATTACTATGTATTTCTATAACTAATGAAATTGGCTATAACTATAAATATAACTACTGAAAATGGTCTCAGTATTTTTTAAGATAGGAAATACTAAACAATAATAAATAAAGCATAGGAAAAGACGTCATAATTTAGTATATAATCCAAACATGAAAAAAATAAATATTGCAATAAAGATCAAATGAATCCATAAGCCTTGTGTTTTGCTGTATTAAACAGAACATTTAACTGTGTTCCATATCATTCTAGTTACCAATATTTACTGATTAAATTGTGTAAATCAGTTTAACTCAAGAACACATACCCTTTTGCTGCAGACCATCTCACAATAGTATCTTTGTCTTTTAATCCAATCAACAACTGCTCTGTGAAAAAATGTTTTTAAAATCATAACATGAATTCAAGGCAACCAAACATTGTCTTTCTCTTGGCACTTCATCACTTCTAGCTTTGTTAGGATATCATACTGGAGTGATTAGGATAGTGATTTGTTCCTAAACATGATTTTGTAAAGAAAAATCATGTTTGTTTGTTTGTTTTACAGGATCTGGCACAAAGAAGTCTAAACACTTCTTTAAAAAGAAGATTAAATTAATTATGCAGGAA